TCTGCTGATTGCTGGTGCAATGCTTTACAAGCTCCTGCAACAAAAAATAATAAATGTGAACTTATCCTTTAATAAAACGAAAAAAATATCACAAAAGCTGATCTGTGATTATTAAAATAACATTTAATAAATAACCTGCCTAGGAAAACTTTGTGTTTCCTTGGTAAAGGTCAGGAGGAATTTATTGCTGCATGTTCATACTAGCAATTTTGAATGGGCATCTGCAATTAGTTATATACAGTCACTTCAGTCTGTGGTTTGGTATTACAAATTATCAATTTTCCCTTTTTCAGAAGTAAATTATTGCTTACAAAAGTAGGGAACAAAAAAAAGAAAAAAAAAAAAAAAAACCCTTGACTGCACATTTTTAGTCATACAATGAAAGATGCTTCTAGACCCAATGTAGTTACAGTGGGGCAAAAAAGTATTTAGTCAGCCACCAATTGTGCAAGTTCTCCCACTTAAAAAGATGAGAGAGGCCTGTAATTGGCATCATAGGTAGACCTCAACTATGAGAGACAAAATGAGAAACAAAATCCAGATAATCACATTGGCTGATTTGGAAAGAATTTATTTGCAAATTATGGTGGAAAATAAGTATTTGGTCACCTACAAACAAGTAAGATTTCTGGCTCTCACAGACCTGTACCTTCTTCTTTAAGAGGCTCCTCTGTCCTGCACTCATTACCTGTATCAATGGTACCTGTTTGAACTTGTTATCAGTATAAATGACACCTGTCCACAACCTCAAACAGTCACACTCCAAACTCCACTATGGTGAAGACCAAAGAGCTGTCGAAGGACACCAGAAACAAAATTGCAGACCTGCACCAGGCTGGGAAGACTGAATCTGCAATAGGCAAGCAGCTTGGTGTGAACAAATCAACTGTGGGAGCAATAATTAGAAAATGGAAGACATACAAGACCACTGATAATCTCCCTCGATCTGGGGCTCCACGCAAGATCTCACCCCGTGGGGTCAAAATGATCACAAGAACGGTGAGCAAAAATTCCAGGACCACACGGGGGACCTAGTGAATGACCTGCAGAGAGCTGGGACCAACGTAACAAAGGCTACCATCAGTAACACACTACGCCGAGGGACTCAGATCCTGCAGTGCCAGATGTGTCCTGGAGTGGCCTAGCCAGTCTCCAGATCTCAACCCCATAGAAAACCTTTGGAGGGAGTTGAAAGTCCGTGTTGCCCAGCGACAGCCTCAAAACATCATTGCTCTAGAGAGATCTGCATGGAGGAATGGGCCAACATACCAGCAACAGTGTGTGCCAACCTTGTGAAGACTTACAGGAAACGTTTGACCTCTGTCATTGCCAACAAAGGATATATAACAAAGTATTGAGATGAACCTTTGACATTGACCAAATACTTATTTTCCACCATAATTTGCAAATAAATTCTTTCCAAATCAGCCAATGTGATTGTCTGGATTTTTTTTCTCATTTTGTCTCTCATAGTTGAGGTCTACCTATGATGCCAATTACAGGCCTCTCTCATCTTTTTAAGTGGGAGAACTTGCACAATTGGTGGCTGACTAAATACTTTTTTGCCCCACTGTATGTGTGCACAATTATTACACCCATTCACATCGGGTGAGACTTGGCATACCATTTGACTTGAAAATCGTATGCCAAGTCGCACCCTATTGTCCGCAATTAGAGCGGTCAAATCGGTGCAGTTCCAACCTGGTCAGAGCCACACCGATTTCTAAAGTAGTACATGTACTACTTTTGGTGCGATTTGCATAGACATCTGTGTCAGATGTCTTGCAAATCGCACCTGAAATTGGCATCTCACCCAACTTTGAAATTGTGCAACTTCACTATAAGTCACACGATTTCAAAGTCGGGCTTGATGTGACCGGGGGGTTAGGCAAGTGACTTTTTTTTAACAAATCATCATTTTTATGCGTATTGTCCAACTCCAAGTTGTATAAACCTGAATGCTTATTGGATACAAGCATATCAGGTGATATGTTTTTGTGTAATGAGGGAGGGTATGGCCTAAAGAGATCAACACCTTCTATCAAGGTGTGCATAATTATTAGGAAGTTTCTTTTCCTCAGGCAAAATGGGCCAAAAAAAGAGATTAAACTGACTCTGAAAAGTAAAAATTTTTAACCACTTCCAGACCGGACACTTTTACCCCCTTCCTGACCAGGGCAATTTTCAGCTTTTAGCGCTATCACACTTTGAATGACAATTGCGCGATCATGCAACACTGTACCCAAATGAATTTTTTACCATTTTTTGAGATAGATAAAGCTTTATTTTGGTGGTATTTATTCACCACTGGGATTTGTATTTTTTTTTTGCTATGTAAATGAAATGTCCAAAAATTTTGAAAAAAAAAAGTGTTTTTTTTTATAAAATTTTGCAAATAAATAATATTTCATCATAAATCTTAGCCAAAATTTATTCCGTTAGTAGATTTATTCTTTTTAGTAAAAAAAAAAAAAAAATCCAAAATTAGTTTATAAGCAAAAATTATAATTTTTAAACATTTTTTTTTTTACATTTTTATTTTATTTTTTTTTTATTATTATTTTTTATTTTTTTTTTTTTTTTACATACTGTCACCCTAGCAGTACAGTGTCACCATGGTGACACTGTACTACTTGTGAGGGGTGATGAAGATTTTTTTTTTTTTTTTTTTTTTTTTACACTGATTGCTTTTACACCCATATAGGATGTAAAAGCAATCATTTCTCTTTCTCTCTGTGTGCATTCTTGCACTCATTGAGAAGAACTGAGTGAGCTGTGATTGGTCACAGCTTGTCACATGGTACAAGGCTTTTGTGAATAGCCTTGTACCATGTGACCTCTGTGATCATTCACAGATTTCACACATAGTAAGCAATGATGTCAGAAGTGACATCTTGCTTACTACTTTGCATGTGATCACTGATTGGCCAATCAGTGATCACATGATCGGGACCTCGTACAGAGGTCCCGTCCGACGATCGGTGTTTCACTGTGTCCGGAGGACACAGCGGGCACCGGATCGCGGTGCTGCGCGCTCCCAGGGAGCGCGCACAAGCAGGGTGCGGGGAGGCCGTTTATAGACGGCCACCCTACCCTGCAGTGCCACCGTCCAGCCGTTTATATACAACGGCCGGTCGGGAAGTGGTTAAAAGGTCTTTCAGGAGGGATGCAGCACTCAAAGACAAGGCCAAGGTAAGGGAGGCTGAAACCTGACCACCACTGAACAAGACACATAAGTTGAAACGTCAAGGTTGGCCAAGAAATATCTAAAGAAAGATTTTTCAAAAGTTTTATGGACTGATGAGATGGGCCCGTCAGTAACGGGGACAGAGCTCCACTTCGACTCAGACATCAGCAAGGTAGAGGTGGGGACCTGGAAAGGGCTAGTATTATTAAAGATGAGCTAGTTGGACCTTTTCGGGTTGAAGATGGACTCAAAATCAACTTCCATACCTACTGCCAGTTTTTAGAAGACACTTTCTTCAAGCAGTGGTACAGGAAAAAGTCTGCATCTATCAAGAAGACAATGATATTTAGGCAGAACAATGCTCCATTGCATGCATGGAAGTACTCCACTGCATGGCTAGCCAGTAAAGGCCTTAAAGATAAAAGAACAATGACATGGCCCTCTTCCTCACCTGACCTAAACCCTATTGAGAACTTGTGGGCCCTTCTTAAAAGGGATATTTACGGTGAAGGAAAACAGTACACCTCTTTGAACAGTGTCTGGGAGGCTGTGGTTGTTGCTGCACAAAAAAGTTAATCGTTAACAGATCAAAAAAACTGACAGACTCCATGAATGAAAGGCTTATGACTGTTACTGAAAAGAAGGGAGGCTATATTGGTCACTGATTTTTATTTATTTCTTCTTTAAATGTTGAAAATGTTTATTTGTAAATTTTGCGTTGATTGTTTATTATTCTCACTTTACAAGTGAGATGGGGAGATTTTTGTTTTTCATTTAGATGCATAATAATTCTGCATACTAATAGTTGCCCAATAATTGTACACACAGATATCCTGATAAGAAAGCCAAAACCTCACTTTTACTTTCTTAAATATTCAGGTTTGAGGTTTATTAACATTTTATATTGACCGAGAGCACTGTAGCGCAATAATGAAATTAATTCTCACAAATACAACTTGCCTAATAATTGTGAACACAGTGTATTCATTAAAAGAATGAAATGCCTTTAAAGTGGAACTAAGCCTAAGGATTTAAATTTCAACAATTACATTCAAATTATGCTGTAAATGATAACGGTCACAGCTGCTTGTTCTCTAAACCGAACTGTCAAACCATCAAATCACTGTGTAATAACTGATAACGTGCAGAATCATGGCAACTGCAGATCAAATAAAAGGCTAAGATGGTTGCTTCCTTGACTGTAAAGGATGGGAGGGTTTAGGTCCATGTTAAGTTCAGTATTCAGTAGGATACAAGGAGAAGGTTTGAATTGTGTGCCCTTTGTTGGTTAGCAGAGCTTTATTAAAACTACCTGATGTAACTTTATTACTTTCCTACCTGCAAAGTCAAATCAGACAAGAATGGAAGGGTATGCATTGTAGCCAGTTTTTCATTCTTGCACTCCCCAGTACTGCTGATCTTCAGACATAAAAAGATGAATGGAGAAATGTTCCAGCAGCTTACAGGAGGATAGCACAGGGAGAACCCCGGCATTGTATCTATGCTCAATCCGAAGAGCACAAAGGTAACAGGGGAAGATGCACCTTGGGAATAGAGGCTTTGCAGTGTACCAGAGGTATGTAAATGACAAAAAGAGGCTGAAAAGGATTACAATTATTTCAAATCGCTAAAACAATCCACATACTTGTATTACATTTAGGCATTTTTGCAGTTTGGCTGCAGTTCTGCTTTATCTCCCACATTAATCTAGAATTCTTCTAAATATTTGCTACAGTAGATGACTTAAAATAGAGGCAATAAATATATCACTCCTGTCTCTGCAATCCAGATCACTACAATGGACTTTACTTACGGTTTCTGCAGTTTCCACCAATGCTTCCCACTCTAGTTTAGGAATCATGCGTGATACAAACTCTCGGTTGAAATCCACAGAATTGACCTTGACTTCATCTGCCTAAAAATTCAATAGAACAAAAAAAAAAAAAAACATAATTACAAAGAGAATCTTTCATAAATGCAAAGCTAAGTTGAAGTCACGAAAATATTAACAATAGTGTGAATCCTCCGTCTTAGCCCGCCAGCAGGATTCACAATACTGTATACTGATATAGTCCTGCTCGGGTCAATAGGGTGGGGTCTGCTTTATTGTAATGTTGTACATGTAACAGTTTCTATACAATTCTCTCAGCCATTGCTATGTTTTAATGGAAACGTTTTATGTTGTATAAAGTCATTCACTGTCTACTTTCAAAAATATGTAACAAGAGTTGCTTGCATTAAAAGTCCCATTAAAGATACTCAAATAGCTGGTTTCAGCATTGAAGGGATGTTGGAAACAGACACTAGTGTCTGGGCCTCTTGTGCATTTTAAATAAGAGATTATTGAGCTAGGCATTCATATCTGAATGAGCTTGTATATAGATTGTGCAAACCGACTGTAGATGATCAACTTAAAGTGTATCCACCCCAAATGTAATATATTGCAGCTTATTAGTTGTTAGATATGGTGGCTGCATATGTTTTCTTTTTTTCCTTTGTTTTCACCTGATGATCCAGGCAGTAAGTCTGTTCTTTTCCAACTTCTTTTAACAAAACAAGCTGCCCAGCAAAAGTGGCAGTTAGAACCATTATCTGCTTTTGTTCATCTATGAAAAACCTTTATCCAATAAGGAAAAAAACTTGATGCAACTGCCTAAAAAGTGTTAGCGGGAGTTCACCTTCAATATGTTAGCCAAGTTCATCTAAATCTGCTAGTGCACCCATCACTACCCTCTCCCAGACTGACAATGCCGTTGCAGTGGGGAGCCTGTCATTGAAGATGTCAGTTGCACCAGCTAACCATAGAGGTGTTTGGGGACTGGATTGTCTCTGATCATCTCTATGGTCTACCACAGGGGTATGCAAAACTATGGCCCTCCAGCTACAAGTCCCATCATGCCTCTTGCCTGTAGCTGTCAGAGTCTTGTAACGCCTCATGGGACTTTCAGTTGAACACCTGGAGGGCCATAGTTTGGAGACCCCTGGTCTAAGAGACCGGAAGTGACGAGTTTTTCATCACTTCCAGTTAGGGCAAATGTAAATAAAGCCATTTTTTCTGGAAAGCATGAGAATAATATTTTTTTTTTCTTGTGCTTTCCAGGGTAGAGGAGAGATCTGGGGTCTTATAGACCTCAGATCTCTCCATAAAGAAGACCTGTCATGCCTTATTTCTATCACAAATTATGTTTACATTTTTTGTGGTAGCAATAAAAGTGATAAAAAAATTTTTTTAAAGACAGTGTAAAAATAAAAAAGAAGTTTAATAAAAATAAATTTTAGAGTGGCATATTAGGCATCTATTTACTCGGCGTAACATCTTTTACATTTCCCCCAAAATTTGGGTTATATATTGTTTGAGAATTAAAATTCATCAACCACTCGCTACTAGGCACTTTTACCTCCTTCCTGCCCAAGTCAGCTTTCAGGGACAATTCACACTATAGAAATGCAGTCCAGATGCGTTTCTGCATGCGCGTTTTTCATGCGTTCCAGTTTATTTTTCCCCCTTTTTCTTCAATTTAAATAGGGACATATGCATTCCAGTGCGTTTTTGGTGTATTCCCGTGTGTTTTACCATGTTCCAGTACAGTTCTGTGCAGGAAAAATGCAGCCTGTTGTACTCTTTCTGCATCCGGTTCCACTGGAACTGCAAGCACTGATATGAACTGACATTAACAACCATATAACCTACTCTCTGTGCGTTTTGGATACAGAAAAACAAACTGAAAAGCATGTAGTGTGAGCTGGCCCTTAGTGCTATCGCACTTTGAAGGACAATTGCGCGGTCATACAACACTGTACATATCAAGCTTTTATATTTTTTTTTTCACACAAATAGAGCTTTCTTTTGGTGGTATTTAATCACCACTGGGTGTTTCATTTTTTGCGCTATAAACAAGAAAAGAGCGAAAATGTTTAAAACAAAAAAGTTTTGTTTCTATTATAAAATTTTGCAAACAGGTAATTTTCCTCTTTCATTGATGTGTGTTGATGAGTCTGTACTGATAGGCGGCACTGGTGGGCATTGATAAGGAGGTACTGATGATGCTCCACTGACCGGCACAGACTGGCAGACTGGCAGCACTGCTGGGCACTCTTGGGCTGTACTGATAATCAGTACCCTGATTATCAGTGCAGATGTCTGCTTTGACTGTTGCCAGCAGTACTTTCCCTTACGCTGTGACAGTGTGAGGACAGTACTGCTGATAACCAGCAAGTGTATTTACATAGTGGTTAGCTGTGACTGGACACAGATGATCACGTGGCAAAAGGCCACTGTGATTGGCCTTTTACCATGTCATGTGATCAGCGGTGTCCAAAGGACATGGCGATCACAGACAGCACTGGGTGCACACCACTGGTGGGAGATTTTGGGAGGACATCATATGATGCCCTCCCAGAACTGGACTACCACGCTTTAGCTATCATTTGGCTATAGCGTGGTGTTAAAGTATATTTTTTCTTTTTAATTGTATTTGAAAAAAACTGCTGTTCAAATATCACGTGACATTAAAAAAAAACTGCAACAACCACCATTTTATTCTCTAGGGCCTCTGCAAAAAAAAAAAAAATAATAATATGTTGGCTCCCCCCTCATCCCCCAATTATACTTACCCGAGCCTGAAATCAATCCCACGACGAGCATGACAGCAGTGGCTCTCCCTCCTCATTGGCTCACATACAGACTTGGAGGCCATTGGCTCACGCTTCTGTCAATCACAGCCAGTGAGGAAGAGCTAAGCTGAGCTCTGTATGTCAATATATACACAAAGCCAGCTCAGGAGTGAGCATGCACTACGGCCCCCATAGCAAGTAGGTCCCTCTAGGGCGGGTGTCGGCAACCCGCGGCTCCGGAGCCGCATGCGGCTCTTTTTCATCTTTGCTGCGGCTCCGGAGCACACTGCCCACCAGGTGGTCGGCAAGCCGCAGATCGCGAGCCACATGCGGCCCTTCTGTGTGCCGGGCGCCCGCTCCCCTCCCTTCTCAAAAATCCGGCCCGCGGAGCGTGGAACATTGGCTGTCAGGATGTAGGTGGGGCAGCCAGGATGTAGGCGGGGCAGAGTGACGAACTCCTCTCTCAGTCCGCCTGAAGACCAGAACGGCGCGGGAACACAGCGAGAGGAACGCGCGGAGCAAAGGTAAGTGAATTGAGACAATATGGGGGATGAATTACTATGTGGGGGATGAATTACTGTGTGGGGGGATGAATTACTATGTGGGGGATGAATTACTATGTGGGGGATGAATTACTATGGGGGATGAATTACTATGGGGGATGAATTACTATGTGGGGGATGAATTACTATGGGGGAAGAATTACTATATGGGGGATGAATTACTATGGGGGAAGAATTACTATATGGGGGATGAATTACTATATGGGGGATGAATTACTATATGGGGGATGAAATTACTATATGGGGGATGAATTACTATGTGGGGGATGAATTACTATATGGGGGATGAATTACTATGGGGGATGAATTACTATATGGGGGATGAATTACTATGGGGGATGAATTACTATATGGGGGATGTATTTTCAGTTTTAAAAATGTGGCTGTCAAAATAAATTTCAATCGTGGTTTTGGCGAGATTTGGGCTCAGTTGAAAAAAAAGGTTGCCCACCACTGACCTAAGGCTATGATTGTGATTATGAAGATACACTGTGGCCCTGATTAACCCTTTGCTTACTGGGCCCTTAAACCCCCTTCATGACCAGAGTGCTTTTTGCAATATATGCAGTGTCGGATTTGTTATAAATGTTGCAATGGTTTTGCGGCTCCCAGTCTTTTTTTCCCTCGGAAACGGGTCCAAGTGGCTCTTTATGTCTTAAAGGTTGCAGACCCCTGCTCTAGGGGCAGGAGAGCCAGTGGAGGACCCTGAAGAGGATGAGGGCTGCTATGTCCAAAACAATTACAAAGGGCGGGTAAGTATGAGATGTTTATTTTTTTTAAAAATAATCCTTTACAATCACTTTGGGGTTTTCTTATGCAGTGTAAAGCACAGATCCCATATACATCCATGTAATGAGCAGAAAGGTTATACAACTCCACAACCAATCAGAAATCATCTCTCCTCTGGTTATAGTCATCTAAAACCCAATGTCTGACTTACTGCACCCTACAAATCTGCCCATAAATCACACAGTACCATACCCGAATGATGAGCGGGAAGCCCCGGGTCACCCCGGTAACGTGGCTCCGCAGCATATTATGTGTGAGCAGCTTCATATTCCCGTCTCCTGTACCCACGTGCCTGGTAAAGAAACTACTTCCGGGACCTAAGCCAACCACCATCCCGCTGTAACCCCGCCTACAGGTCTTCTATCACTGGGCGCCACGAATGAGGCGGGGCATACAGGACCAAGTTAGCACTGCGGTTCAGATATGTAAAGGACAAAGTGCGCATGTCAATCAGCGCAGACCACTGTACGGAGGGTGGGTGGGCCTCCCGGTGGGCGTGGGCCTCCCGGTGGGCGTTCCCCTTCGGAATTATATAAGACGGCCAAGGTGAATCCCCGCCTCGGTTGGCATGACGTTTAGGTTACCGGTATCTTTCCGCCTTCTTTCATCACTTCGTACAGCTGTGAGGAGCAGAGCAATGTCCATCAAGGTAAACACGCTGTTGTGGCTGGGGGCTCATGTGACAGGCGGAGTGGGGAGCCCTCCGTGCTGTGCGGTGCCAGGGGGCGGCAGGTGTCCTCTGTACTCTACCAAATCAGGAGATGAGCAGAGGATCCGTCCATGTACAGCGCACACTGTGCCCGGTGTAGCGGCAAGATCAGTCCCCCCCCCCCCCCCCCCCCCCCCCCCCGGCGGTGCTGTATGATTCCTCATCCTGCATAGAGGTGGGGGCGGGGGTCTTCACTGATCGGACATATCATAGAAAAGGCTTTTCACTCTCTGCAACTTGCATTGAAAAAAAAATCCCCGGATCAGACACCTCCTGTTCTACGGTGACAACGCTGTGTATTCTTTCATCAGATTTCATGATTGCTTAAATATTTATCAATGTTGGAGGAATGACTTTTGTAAAGGTTTTCATGACAATATTGTCACTTCTGTCTAGTGAGGAGCAGGGGTGGACTGACAACTCATGGGGCCCCTGGGCAATAAGGGATCATGGGGCCCCTGTGTCCTTGTCCAAACTCAAAAAAGCCTATGAAAAAGGTACCAGGGGCATCTCATGGGGCCCCCTACTGACCCCGGGCCCTTGGGAAGTGCCCGAGTTTCCAAATAGTCAGTCCTCCCCTGGTGAGGAGTGAATAAGCTGTGATCAGGGGCGGACTGACCATTTGGAAACTCAGGCACTGCCCGAGGGCCCAGGGTCAGAAGGGGGCCCCATGAGATGCCCCTGGTACCTTTTTCATAGGCTTTTTTTGAGTTTGGACAAGGACACAGGAGCCCCATGATCCCCTATTGCCTGGGGGCCCCATGACTTTAAACTTTTTTTTTTTTTTTTTTTTTTTTTTTTTAACATTTATTTTTGCACTGTCCCTTTAAAATAAATTTTAATCACTTTTATTCTCACAAGAAATGCATGCATCCCTTGTGATAGAAATAATTAGTGACAGGTCCTCTTCATGGAGAGCTATGGGGTCAATAAGACCCCACATCTCTCCTGCAATGTAAAGCATTGGATAAAAAAAAAAATAAAAATGGTCAGAACCGGAGTGACATCGCTCTGGTCCTCCAAGGGCATAGAGATGAGTGCAGGCCATCTTTCCTTCACTCATCTCTATGCCCAGCACCAGGATTGTTTGGTTTCTCAGGTGAGGCTGAGAACTACCAAGCGGCCGCTAGTGGTGGCAGCGGTGGAGAGGGGTGTATCCGGAGTGCATTTTTGCAGTGTGAATTGGCCCTTTAGGCTTTTATTTTCACCTGGTGATCTGGCCAGTAAGGCTTGATTCACATCTGTGTGGGTGGTGCTGCTGCGGGACCCACACAAATATCTGCAGCCGCACCACCCGCACAGAGGAATGCAGGACCCACAGGCAGGTGCCATTAATTCTAATAGTATGCCACCAACACTTGAGATCGCAACCGTACAAGGAACCTCATTTGCTGTGCGGAATGTGATTTTCGAAGAAGTGCAGGGACTTCTTCCCTGCGTGTCCTGGGGCACGGGAGTCTATTCAAATGAACGGGCTCTTGTGCCCACGCACATCACAACCCTTATGGCCGCACATGTGTGAACCTGGCCTAAGTCTGTTTTTCAACAGAACAAGCTCTCCTGCAGATGTAGCACTTAGAAGCCAGAGACAAATCATTTTACCACTGACAATGGGAGCTTACAAGGTCTCATGCACACTGGGCATTTTTACAGCTGCTTCTGGCACTGGGCTTTTTTCTACAGCCAGTAAACTCCCCAGCATGTTATCCTATGTGCTCATGCATGCATAGGCATTAATCAATGTTTTTTTTAGCAGGGGCTTTTTCTGGCTTGGAAAAAACTACTGGGTTTCAAGAGGAGTTTTTTAGCTGTTAAAAAAAAAAAAGCAACAATGTTTGCTTTTTGGCATAAAGGTTTTACATAAATAAAAGCTGACCATTGGGCCTCATGCACACTGGGCATGTTAAAACCGCCGGTAGCATTCGCTGTAGAACGTTGCGTCAGTAAGGCAAGTTTTTTCATGTTTTTAGCACTTTTGCATTAGCGTTTAGCCATTAATGATTTTTAACTGCTAATGTATTAGCAGCAGTTTGGCTTCAATGTGTTAGTGTATTTAAATCTGCTAGTCCATCTAACAACCCCCTCCCCCCAGACTGACAATGCTGCTGTCCCCCCTGTGCTTTCATCCAGAGTGGTTTTACTCTAATACAGGAGGTGTGTTACTGACCAGGTCGTCATGTGAAAATAGGAAAAAACCTAAAAAAAAACTAATGAAGCCACCCCATCTAATGATTGGTAAGCTGCAATATATTACATTTTTGGGTTTAATACTGCTTTAAAGGCTAAATCACTTGTGATGAAGTGCACTATGCAGTCAAGTGTAGCTTTAAATTTGGAGTTTAATTGAAACCAACCCTTTTGCTGCCAAGCTGATACATTGTACAGACATGACGGTGGGGGGGGGGGGGGGGTGTTTACAGACTCTCCCACCAGGAATGTGTGTATCTGACAAGCAGACGCTGTGGGCTGTCAGATTAAAGCAATGTAGTGAGTGTGCAGCTGCTGGATTGCCTCCAAACACCCTCTGGTAATAAGGGGTCCCCTATGTCATAAAATTAAAAAGTGCTACTAAACCCCGGACCCTGCATTCACGATATCTGGTCGCCCCGGACCCTGCATTCACGATATCTGGTCGCCCAGGACCCTGCATTTACTATATCTGGTCTCCCACAGTACACAGAACATGGAAGTGCAATTATTTTATTAAATATAAACTGCTAAATACCTTTTCTCATCAGCAGTTAGAGCAGCCTTGTGACTTCTATCAGTGTCCAGGAGTGCACTGGTTAAATCTTGTAGGAGTTTTTTCTGCTCTTGGAGGATGCAGAACCCCTGAAATCAGTGCTGATTGGCCCTGATCACATGCACTCTCCCAAGGAAAAAAAAACCTCCTTTAGCAATACACACCAAACAGGACATATCGTGTAGAATCATTCTGCACATGTTCAATCAGGAGATGGGGGGGCACTGAAGAAGGGGAGGATCAGAGAAGTCATGATCAAACAGCATTTCTACACAATGCAGAGGATTAACCCCTTAGGTTCCACAGTGAGTATAACAAGCATGCTTTACTGCATATACAGACTGACTTTACTGTTGTGGGTTTAGTAACACTTTAAAGTTCCACCCAAGTACTTAAAATCCCCCCAGAAAAAATATTGAGTCCCCCCACCCCCTCATACACAAACATAGGTGCATGCCTCTGGGGCGCCCATCACAAAACCGTTAACTATCACCATGCACGCCCCCATCACGAGAGAGCAATAATTCTAACACCAGAGTCATGGGTAACTAAACAGATGACCTGTAGGGGGCTTTAAATCATTGCCTATGGGAAATCTAGGGTAGTAAAGTGTCACCATTTCATAGGTACATGCAATTTTAATGTATGACATGTTGGGTATCTGTTTATTCTGTGCACACTCATCTTTTATATTTTACCAATATAAAAACCCTGAAATTTTACCCAAAAATGGGTCATTTATTGCATTTCCTTGCACTAAAATTGGAGTGATACTAAAGGTTCACTTTTTTTTTTTTTTGTAACATAACATGCTATACTTACCTGCTGTGTGCAGGGGTTTTGCACAGAGCATCCTGGATCCTCTTTCTCAGGTCCCCCACAGGCTGTCCTAGCTCCTCCTTTCTCTCAGGTGCACCCTTGTCATAGGGGCACCTTCGGCTCCGTGTCCATATGCACACGGAGCTGCGGCTTTGCCCCACCCTCTCTCATTGGCTGGTCAACAGCGGGAGCTATTGGCATCTCTGCCAATGAGGAGGCAGAGACCCAGAACAGCCAAGGCTGTCATGCACATCGCTGGATCTCGATGGGGCTCAGGTGTGCATTGAGGGGGCTGGGGGCACTGCTGAATACAGAAGCCTTGAGCCTTTACAGCCACTTTAACTTTAGAAAATGCAACATTTAACAGTAAAAAATATTATATAAATATTATATAAAAAAACAACAGTAAAAAATATTCTAAACTGTTTATACAGTGATGGTGGGGGGCACACCCAATGTAAGAAGAGTGACAAATCAGAGGATGGTGCAGATCTCTCCCATAAGTAGTTTCTTCTAGGCTGTGAGTAAGCAGTAATGGGTTTACAGATATCACACTTATGCAGGCCATAGACGGTTCGTTTATTGGCCGATTTTTACATCTGAAAAACTAACCATCAGGCCTGCTGTAAACTGATGTTGCCACCAATGATTGTGAAAAACGGCCGTTTTTCACAAATTTTCCAGCATGACTGATAAAAAATGAGGAGGAACCGCAAAAATCGTCCGCTTATTCTTTCGGATGAAAAATCGGCCAATAAATGAACAGTCTATGGCCTGCATTAAAGTATAACTAAGGCAAGACTTTTTTTTTTCTTTGTTTAGATTAGAGAGGGAATGGAGCCCCTGTCAGTTTTTATTGCTGTCTGTGTCCCTGTTAGGGAGAACCATCTTCTCTATCTGTACCTTTATAACTGAGAATGAAAAAAATCCTAAATTTTGGGCTGTCCCCAGAACAAAAATTGAGGGAAAATTTTCCAATGGGGGCGCTAGTTCTGGTGGCAACCAGTGATTTCTCTTACTTTGGGGGGATTTTCTCTTGCTTTCTGTATTGGCTATGGAACAGGAAGTGAAGGGTAATTCCCTCCAATGGTACACCGATGGAAAAAAAAATACTAATGGGGTTATAACACTCCCTTCTCTATCCAGAATGAAAAAAAGTTCTACTTTGAAGACCAGGCCTATTCTGACACTTCTCTTCTACATGTAAAAAAATGAGCATTTTTTTTGCTAGTAACAATTAATTAGAACCCCCAAACATTATACAGTGAGTAAAATAAGTATTGAACACATCACCAATGTATGGGTGCGGGACCGATGCATGAGCATGGGGGCGGAGGGGGGTACATTTTGATGTGTTGAGTTTTTTTTTTTTTTTTTTTTTGTATACGGTCTACATTTTTTTACCACTTTTATTGCTATCACAAGGGATGAACATTTCTTGTGATTGCATAGGCAGTGACAGGTCTTCTTTTATGGAGTGATTTGTAATGGTTGTGGCTGGTTTATGGTGAAATTATGTTCTTTCCACTTCCAGATTATGTCACCAACAGTGCTCACCGGAACATTCAGAAGTTTGTAATCCATCTGTAACCAATGCCATCAGTATGTTTTGCAACAATGTTGCAAAAGTCTTGAAAGAGCTCTTTGCTCATGAGATTTCTTGTGTGACACTTTGGTAATGAGACACCTTTTCATAGGCCATCAGTTGAGACTGAACCAGCTATTGATTTGCACTGACAAGGGGCAGGATTGCTTTCTAATTACTGATCAGTTTCAGTTGGTGTCTTGGCTTTCCATGCCTTTTTTATACCTTTCTTCATGTGTTCAATACTTTTTCCCTGTGTCATTCCTTTTTATTACACATCATTTCTGAAATTATTTGTTTTGGTTTTTGTATGTGTGGATTGCATGGGTTGTTACTGACCTGTCATGAAAATGTCATTTCAATAGCATCTTTAGAAATAGATTTACCGAGAAAAATTGTGACATGTTCAATACTTATTTTACCAGGTGTGTGTGTGTGTGTATTTAGCAGTATTAATAATTTATTTCAGGTACATATAGTGCTGGCAATTTACGCAGCGCTTTACATATATATTGAACATTCACATCAGTCCCTAACCCTCAAGGGATATACAATCTAAGGTCCCCAACTTACATTCTTACATACACATACTAGGGACAATTTAGACAGGAGCCAATTTACCTACCAGCATGTCTTTGGAGTGTGGGAGGGAAACCCATGCAGGCACAGAGAACATGCAAACTCCAGGCAGGTGATGCCATGGCTGGGATTTGAACCAACGACCCTATGATGAATAATCGTCGGTATACCACTGACACCACAGACAGGATATACAGAGGTTTAAACACACAGTAGCACTCTTCTGAGACAGGGGATTTTAGTTTGCATTAAAGAGCTTTAGAAACAGTTCAACACTTTCAGAAAGTAAGATTTATTACTAAAAGGTCAAAAGGGTGCAATATAAATATATATACAGAAAAAGATGTAGCATATATATAGAGAGAGAGGGATAACAAAGTAATTTAGAGATAAAGTATTTGCCAAAAGTCCTGGTTTAAGCAGCTTTCAAGTTTTCTGAGCAAAAGGACCTTGTCTCCCAAAGTTATTTCCGATGTTAAAAGGAAGAATCTTCAACTTAGCTCAGCTCAGCTTAGACTTCTGCTCCCCGCATTACAGCCTTTTTCTAGGAACTCAGCAGGGTGTCTCTTTGAAGCACAGAACCAATCGCCTTATTGAGGGAGGTGTAGGTGGAGACCCCAGCTAGACCCAAAATCCCTCGCAGCTTATATCATGACCCATAACTTACCCTCGGTGCGTTTAGCAGCCATGCCACTAGTAGATTAATATGCAGATGCATCTGCTGAACGTCTAGATATGAAATATGACATACCTGTGGGGATGGTTGAGGAGATCATTTTCTGCTCTCCTGTAGATGTCAGGGGGTGTAATATATCAGACGACTTGTATTAAAGTGACCAGTCTGAATATATGCCTGGTTTTTCTGTAAGTCTCTCATATTCCAAGATATGTAATCATAGGGGAAAGTGGATTTTTGAACGTGATGTCTGCTTTATGGCTTATCTAGAATGTCTTGAAGCTCAGTGAGGGACTTGGTTTATGGCTTTACAATATCCCAGATTGAGAAGTTAACAGACATCTAGGCACCAGCTCAGTTGGGATTTTATAGCCCTGGAGCTCTCCCACTGAGCCTTGACTGCCTGTGAGTTCTGCCTCATCCAGACCACATGTCACTCAACAGAGGGAGGGGGGGATTTGGAGTAGGGGAGAGATACAAGATGGAGGGTTTGGAGCAACAGGGCAGACTGCACAACTGCCAGATTATTTAAGAGGGGCTGTTTGCACAACTGTGTTTTATTTGAGACTGAGAGGGGCAGTCTGCAAAACTGCCTGATTATTTCAAATTAGGTGGGGCTGTCTGCAGAATTACCTTCATGCTGGATTAGAAAGTCCTTCCTTGTGGATAACACACAGGATAGGATTGCCATTCTGATACAGAGGCTCTGGTAGCACATGGGGCAAAATTGATTTTTAGAGGGCCCGCTTCATGATTAATTCCAGCATGGTGAAAAGGAGACTGCGTACCACATTGCAAATTCAGCAGTACCGGTTCGGTAATGCCAGGCAACATGTCTCTGAAAGTTGTTTACCACAACCAAAGGAAGATGTCATGACACATTATGGACTTCTTATATAATTTACTAAGGCATGTACAACACAAAAACTACCACTGATATGTTTCAGCCACACCTGGCCTTAATCCCAGCATGTTTCAGCAACATTTAATCCCCTCTTCCCCCTCTACATTAGATGTTCTATTACTTGGAAGTTTGATAAAACCACAGCCCAGACTTGAATTCCTATCTTTGCAGATCAAAGAGCAGTGGAAACGAATTTGATGTTCCACAAAGAAAATAACCCACAGCATATGTGATACATCATTTGCAGTCTGCTGTGCTGCCATTTTACCCTGATATTAGGGGCTATGACTGTTGCTATCACTTTTAGCCTGTGTTTACATATGTGCGGTATATCGCATGTGATTCACATAGGAACCGCACTGCATTCCTGTGCAAATCACATGCGCTTTGTGTGTGCGATTGAGTCATACATTTTGTATGGCTCTATTCGCACCGCATCTGCACCAAAAACATGCAGGACCCTTTTTTGGGTCCGCACTAGAGTTTGATCGCATGGATATTCACAGCTATGCGATCTGATTCTGCACATCGCACTGCATTTTGCAGACCGCTTTTGAGGTGTTAACTTAACATACACACCCGCAGCGGTTCACATGAATGGGGTGCAATTCTGATGCAGTGTGGAATTCGCACTGAAAACACTGCAAATTCCGCACTGCATCAGTGTGAACAAGGGCTTAAGGTGGCTGCAGCTGCTGAGCTTCTGCAGGTAGAAGGAAAAACCTTTAAAAAAAAACAAAAAAAAAAAAAAAAAAAAAAACTCTAAACTAAACTTTACTAAGAGTCTGTCACCTTGTCAATGCAGGGTAAAGTTCAGTAAGGTAAGGTGAGTGTAATCAGAAGGAAGGTTGGGTGATGCCCTTTGCTTAGACACTGTCACTTTGCACTGGGGACAGTTTTTGTAGCTGCTGACTTATTTTTTGACAGGGTGAGTGGAACTCCGCTTTACAATCAAATACAGAGCTGTATATCCAAAAATCTGCATGTTTCCACTACTTTTTGATATTTTTTTTAATGTTCTTTGGCACTGAGACTTATTATTTTCACTTTCAGTGTGTTCACCTTTATACTATTTTTATTGTATTGTAAGTGTTGTCACATCTGGCTTCACGGATGTTTAGCTAGGCCAGTAATATCGCTAAATACAGCAATGCACTTTTATTTGTCTTGCAAATTCTTTTTTATCAGAATTTAGTGTTGGCAGCTTACGATCTCTCTGAACCAGCACAGATTTTGATGTTATATTTACAGACTTATTTTACCTTTTGTGGGTTTAGTAAAACTTTTAAGTAGTGGTTATGTTTGGATTATTTTTTTTTTATAATGGGGATATAGTTTAGTGTCACTTTAACATAAGTGTGAATTGCAAAGAAATGTTAAAAATTGTTAAACCTAATTTGGTCTGGCATTGCTAGATAATGTTATCTTGTGGAACTACTGCAGATGTTACCATAACATGTTCCAATCCCCTTTTTTATGCTTTTGATATTACAAGATACAGGATGTGCATGATGACATTTTATGCAGCAATTATTCCAAAGCCCTTATGGGAAAACCCAGACATGTGACTGCCAGAAAACTTTGAGCCAGTCCCATGGTTGAGGTAATGGGTGTGAATAAAGTGTACAGGCTGATGTAACTGTTACCCTGTAGGAGTTATCTGAACCGTGCTGTTATCTGATATATTGACAGGTAGGAGATCCACTTCCTGATGCCCAGGTATTCGATGGTAGTCCAGAAAACCAGATCAGTGTGAAGGATGTGTTTGGCTCTGAAAAGGGGATTCTGTTTGGTGTCCCAGGAGCTTTCACCCCAGGATGTACCAAGGTAGGTTGGATGCAGTTGTCTGTTCCACACTATAATATGTAGCCCTTTATTACAATAGAGCAGGGGTCCTCAAACTTTTTAAGCAAGGGGGCCAGTTCACTGTTCCTCAGACTGTTGGGGGCTGGACTATAGTTTTGAGAAAAATATGAATGAATTCCTATGAACATCCACATCTTATTTTGATACAGCACACAGGACTTTTGGTGTAATTTCAGAAAATAAAGAAAAAAAGTAACTTAATAGAGATCTGTAGGACTGCAGCTATAACTGGGTAAAATGCAGGAAAACCCCCTTTTATGTTGGGCAGCCCCTGCACCTCTGGACCCCTTTACGTTGGGCAGCCCCCTTGAAGCTATTCCCTCTCCTTCACATTACCCAGCCTCAGCAGCTCTGCCCCTTCCTGCCTTACTCGGCATGCAGAGCGGGAGACCACAGCGCTGAATAGAAGGCGAGAGCTGCTGGAGTTAATTTTTTATAGTAACAAGCTGGTGATTGGTTGTTAAGGACCACCTAGCAACCAATCACCAGCTGGTTAACTTAAAAAGTTAACTCCAGCAGCTCCCACCCTCTTCTCAGCAAAGTGTTCTGCCTCCTGCTTTCCGCACTGCTGTCTTAGTGACAGCGAGTGGCGGAGGCAATCTGATGGGCAGCCCTGGGTGTCACCCCTCTGGCAGGCAGTCCGCACCCCCCTAGTGATGCCGCTGGCTCTGAATGATGGGTGGGCCCGGTGAATGACGTAGTTTGAGGACCCCTGAAATATAGCAATGAAACATCACTAGCACCCTGTTTCAATCATATACACTTTTTATTGGTGCAATGTCACATCAATTAAGTAAGCCAACATTTCAGGGCCAGGCAGGGTGCCCTAGAGAGACAACTTACAGTGAAGTGTCCATATATATTTAATGGACACAGTACCAAATACACCTCCTGTGTCATCATAGGGCCGCAAACTGGCTGCTGCTTGCGTCTGTCAGAATACCCAAGTGGTTTACCTTCTGCTCTGCTTCTTTGATATTTCATTCAATGGATGGCAGGCAGGAAGGGGCCGACAGAGCCAACCAAATGGATTCATCAATAACCTGCTGAAATTTTCATAGTGCATGGCCAGTTTTAGTTAGCATTAGAGCCTTACTATAGAAAAAGGGGAGCTAACAAAAGAGCATTTTTACAAGCTGACCTCTCAAATGTGTATTCTTTAACTGTCTGTTTTCATTTCGTTGTCTATTCAGACATGCAAGCTTTTTATTTTTTTTATAACCGGGCAAGAAGTAGAGTGGTAAGTGAAAACTGCTGTACACTTTGTAATCAGGATCAGGATCCATCTTGTAACTGCTCAGCTTCTATAAAGTGAACTCTTAATTAGTTTCTGTGGGTAACTGCCCTATGCCTAGCACTTTCCTCCTTGTGCTAATTGAAAACAGTTGATAGAAAAATTACATATGCAACATGTTCAGCATCTGTAATTTTTATAAGAGGATTATATTTGGAGACAAGTGTCTTTTTAAATGTAATCATCCAAAATTAAACTTAAAAATTACTGTAATCATTATTAATGATGCTGGTTATGTAAGATAACATAAGAAAGGGCTTTAAGGCTTCCTAATGGAGTGTAAGGCTCCCTATTAAGTGGTGTACTATGGGGTTAACTTAAAACTGGAGCGTTAAATCTGGTGCAGCTGTACATGGTAGCCAGTCGTCTTCTAACTTCAGCTTGTCCAATTTGAGCTTTGAGAGAAAAAAAATGGAGTTTGATTTTGGCTTCTTTGCAAACCAGCACCAGATTTTGCACTCTCCAGTTTTAAATAAATCAACCCCTATGTGTGTTCCTTGTAATATAAGACATTAGATGGAAGTGAAAAACACACAGGAGGGTGCAAACTCCTCATGCACTACCATAAATACATTATTAAATTCACCAAGACAAATGGATACTCAGACTGATGAAAACAAGTGTGTAACTGGTATACTTCAGGCAAATGCGGTCTAACCCGTCCAAGGACTAAACTGTTAGGCTGATGTGTTTCGGGGGACTGGTCCCCTTCATCAGAGTTCAGCTTGTTTTTATCAGTCTGAGTCCATGTGTCTTGGTGGATTTATTACACTTATTTGGTAATGCACAAGGAGTTTGCGCCCTCCTGTGTTTTTTGCAGTATTTTGAAGTTTTCCTGGTCTGTGGAGCGCTGCACCCAGAGGCATTTTGGACTTACACATTGTTGAAGAAAACCTCTGGATTTAGTGCTGACCTGTGTTTGGAGGATGCGATAGAAGTGACTTAAATTGTACCATGAAAATGCCCCCTCAGAATGTCCTGTCTATAGAACTGTACAAATAATCTTCTAGAAGTCTTGTGTAATGGTTTACATTACCACATATAGACATATAGAAACCGGTTTCTAAATTTTTAAAACTGCCATTGTGGGGAGCATCAGAAGGTTAAACCTAAGACACACCTAGGCCTAGATGTCACATGTATTTATGTCCAAAAGCATACTTACAGTGAGTATAGAAAAGAATCGCCCCCTTTTAAAATAATCATATTTGCTGCAGGCACGGTTTTTGTTTTATACAGCTGTATTTACTCAGTGCAACTTATAACATCCAAGTGAAAGATATAACACCAATATGTCAGGAAAAAATATAAAAAATTCAAAAACATAATCACCGAGTTAGAAAAAAGATCACCCCCTTGTGTCAGTTTTGTTGAACCATATGTTGCTTTAATTACAGCTTTTACTCTAGGTTCACACCTATGCAGATTGCATTTGATGTTTCTGCATTGCGTTTTTGGACTTGTGTTTTTGATGCGTTTTTTTTTTTTTTTTTTTTTTTTTTTCTTCTTGCTAGGCAGATTTTATATGCAAAAGGCATCAAAAGCGCAATACATGCTTTTCTGCAGCTTTCCCATTGAAGTCTATAGAACCAAAAATGCTTTGCGTTTAAAAAAAAAAAAGTCCCTGACCCTTTCCAAAAAACGCACTAGGTGAAAACGCACAATTTTTTTAACGAAAAAAAAAATATATAATTTATTTATATAATATATAATTTTTTTTTTTTTTGTGTATAGGGAGATCTTATTCATTCTGCAACATGGAATACTACATTTTGGCATAAGGGGGCACTGTTTGATAAGCAGACCTTGTGGATAATGCGTTCAGTATTCCTAATTGATGTACATTTCATTACTACATGGTTAAACTCTTCCAGATCACATATTACCGTTTCCTGTCATGCATAATTCTTACCTATTGTAGAGGTAGGTATTGAGGTCGATTGACTAAGGAAATCGAGAACCTTCACACAAGGAGTTGTGTGAATGTTCACTTCAATTATCCAGTCATGTGTAGATTAATAAGTAAACAGGGATTTTCTTTTTACAAGAATTGGATAATTGAAGTGTTGTCAAATCCTTTAGCTAACCTGCCTCACTCTGTGATTTGAGCGCTTTAGTTTGTTTCTATTACACTGTCATTTTGGTGAATGCACCCCTAGCAAGCATTGCTTTGTTTAGTTATTGTCTTTTTATCTATTGTCCACAGACACATTTGCCTGGATACGTGAGTCAAGCTGATGACCTTAAATCCCGTGGAGTGAAAGTCATTGCTTGTATCTCTGTCAATGATGCTTTTGTTATGAACGAATGGGGGAAATGTCATGGTGCAGATGGAAAGGTATAAGTAGAAAAAAAAATATTAAAAATTATTCACAACGAAAGATATTGTTGTGTTTCATTAAAAGAGAAGTATGGCATTTTTTCCCCCATTTATACTTCCCTAGGTGGATGCAACATTGGTCCAATTTTGCATCTGTCCCCGACAGCTCCTAGGCTGGGAATTCAGCAATCGCATGACTGCTGATTGCTGAATTCTCATATCCGCTGTGAGCAGAGAGCAGTGACTGCCAGTCACCGCTGTCTGCTCAGTCCCCCCAGTGCTAACTGGGTGCTGGACTGTGGAGGGGGAGGGAGCGGCCGGCTCAAGCTGTTGGCACTGCGCTGAGACTCTGAGCCAGATGCTGCTCCAGACTCTGGGGTGGATCTTAGACCAGCTGATTGGCATCACAGGGGTGCAGAACAAACTGCACTCCTGTGATCCACAGAAGTACAGCCAAAAGAGCTTTGGCTGTACTTAAGGCAGTCTACTCAAATGAATTGGCAGAGCACACAGCAAAACGTCCATTAAAATAGACATGCACCATTTTTGGCAATGGTATGCATCACAACACATAGCCGTGTGTTACCATGCGTTGTGTGCTGCAATGAATGTACATTGGAACCGCATTGCCTAAGAGCATTGGGGTGCTATTCAAATTGAAGGGTGCAACCAATGACATAACGTTTTGTTAACGCAACTCCATGCAAATGTGTGAACCCATTTTTGTGGGCAGCTCAATGGTTAACACTGCACCTTGCAGTACTAGGCCCTTGTTTTGAATCCCAGCCAGACCACTACCTGCATGTCTGCATGTTCTCTTTGTGCTTATATCGGTTTCTTCTGTGTACTCCGGTTTTCTCCCACACTCCAAGGACATGCTGGTAGGTTAATTGAGTCCTCTCTAAACTGGTCCTAGTCTGTGTCTATGCATGTGAGATGGGGGAACTTAGATTGTAAGTTCCTTGATGGACTGATATGAATGTACAATTTTAAGGAGCTGCATACAATTGTCAGTGACATATACACCAATCAGGCATAATATTATGACCAACTACCATAGCCTGCTGAGGCATGGACTCCACTAGACCTCTCAAGCCATCAGAAGATCCTTTAAGGCCTATATTTTTCTAGAACTCGCAGATGCTCAGTCATATTGAGATGTGGAGAATTTGGAGGCCAAGTTGACACCTCAAACTTGTTTGTGTTTCTCAAACCATTCTTGAATTCATTAGACCAGACCACTTTTTTCCATTGCCCTGTGGTCTGGTTCTGATGCTCATGTACTCATTGTAGGCACTTTTGGTTGTGTACACGGGTCAGCATGGGTACTCTGACAGGTCTGCAGTTACGCAGCCATATATGCAACAAACTGTGATTCACTGATGTTTTGACACCTTCCTATCAGAACTAGCATATTAACTTTCACCAGTTTGAGCTACAGTAGCTCTTCTATTGGATTGGAGTATATAGGCCAGCCTTTGTTCCCCACTTGCATCAATGAGACTTTGCCATCCATGGCCCTATCGCCAATTCACTGGTTCTCCTTCCTTGGACCACTTTTGGTAGGTCCCCACCACTGCAGACCGGGAACATCCCCCAAGAGCTGCAGAATTGGTGTTGCTCTGATCCAGTAGTCTAGCCATTACAATTTGGCCTTTGTCAAAGACTCTGCTTGGACCTTGAAGGGGACACTCCCTGAAAGCTTGTCCTCAAAATTGTATGTTAGTGCAAATAAAAAAAGTATCACATCAGTACTCAATTGTTTCTGTCGCAAATGCGCTAATACGGCTACAATCACCTCAAGCAAAATCAGACTCTCAAATCCTTACGCTTGCCCTTTTTTTATTTTATTTTTTTTATTTTTTTTTTTTCAACAACTTCAGAGACCACATGTTCACTTTCTAATATATCCCAGCCACTTTCAGGTGCCATTGTAACGAGATAATCCATGTTAGTCACTTTTACCTGTCAGTGGTCATAATGTTATGGCTAATCAGTGTAAATACCTATGATAAATTAAAGTGGAGGTGCTCCTCAGAACTATGCATTAGGTCAGATCTGTTATACAGACACATTTCCACATTCAGGCAGTGTTCTGCAACAGGTTTACTCTGGTTTAACTGACATTTCCACAAGTAAAAACATGCTTCCTGTAAAGATACACGTTTGTGTTCTCGTAGCAATCCATCCATTGGTTTTCTTTTTATTTGAACAGACTAGAAAAATGTCAGCTGCAATCCTATTGAACAGTCAAAACTGCAACTTAAATTTTCTTAAGGCCTGTAGTTCCAAATAAACCAACTGAGTGCCTTCTACTTTCTCTATCATTTTTCTCTGTATTTTCTACTATTCTTGGGTAGGCTTTGTTTTATGCAGGAGGTTTGTCTCATTGTAAGGTTCAGATTTGTATTTTTGTAATGATGGAAGCAGAAGGGTAAATTCATGTTCAGAAAGGAAAGTTCTGTTGTGTAACTGCTGGAACTGGCTTGATTCCAGAAGTCCTTGCATAACCTCAGGGATTTGGGTAAACAGGCCTGGGCTGTCTGTCCATTCCTGCTGTCAGCTTGTAGTTTGGATGGTTTGCTGACAGATCTGTGTAGTTAGAATATTCTCTTTATAGTAGGATGGTGCTTTTTTTTTTTTTTTTTTCCTTCTTAACCCATGACCGTGCATTCACTGCAAAATATTGCCTGCAAAAGAAAAGCAGCTACAGCTGCTTGAATTCTCTTCAAATTCAATTTCTTCTGGGAGTTTCAAATGCCCACATCCCAGGCTGCACGTTGTGATTCTTTCTGCTGACCCTCTCAGTGGTCTCAACTGTGGCCCAGGGACCAGATGTGGCCCTTTGCTTGCCTTTATCTGGCCCTTGGGGCGCTCTTCCTCCCACTGACACCAGTGATGGGAAACCTTTCCTCCCACACTGATACCAATGATGGGACACTATTCCTCCAACTGACACCAACAATGGGGTACTATTCCTCCCGCTGACATCAAAGAAAGGGCACTATTCCCTCCCACTGACGCCAAGGATGGGGCACTATTCCCTCCCACTGGGGATACTATTCCTCCTGCTGACATCAAGGATGGGGCACTATTCCCTCCCACTGGCGGCAAGGATGGGGCACTATTCCCTCCCACTGGCGGCAAGGATGGGGCACTATTCCCTCCCCACTGGCGGCAAAGGATGGGGCACTATTCCCTCCCGCTGACATCAAGGATGGGGCACTATTCCCTCCCGCTGGCGGCAAAGGATGGGGCACTATTCCCTCCCACTGGCGGCAAGGATGGGGCACTATTCCCTCCCACTGGCGGCAAGGATGGGGCACATCAAGGATGGGGCACTATTCCCTCCCGCTGACATCAAGGGCGGCATGGGGGCCACTGGCGGCAAGGATGGGGCACTATTCCCTGGCCAAGGATGGGGCACTGACCCTCCCACTGGCAAGGATGGGGCACTATTCCCTCCCCCGCTGACACTCAAGGATGGGGCACTATTCCCTCCCACTGCTGACATCAAGGGATGGGGCACTATTCCCTCCCGCTGACATCAAGGATGGGGCACTATTCCCTCCCACTGACGGCAAGGATGGGGCACTATTCCCTCCCACTGGCCCTAGTCCGGCCCCCTAAAGTTTGAAGGACCGTGAACTGGCCCTTTAGAAAGTTTGGAGACCCCTGCTCTATCTGACAACTATGTGCTGTAGGGCTGGTGAAAGGAACCAAAGTGTGCATTGGGGGTTGGGCATCAGACACATCAGGAGGTGTATCAGAATTGAAGAGGCCGTGTTGTGCAAGAGAGAGCACCAATCAGAAGAACACTGGGTGGAACATCTGAGAATAAAGCCTCCTATTTTGCGTCGATTCTTTGCTACATATTTGTGATGCATTGAGTTGCTTTAATTGTGCTACATGTAGGGCATATCACGGATAATGGGGCCACTCTGTAATGACATTTAAAGGTACTCTGCCAAAAAAAAACCCTGTCACAGAAATCTAGAATGGTAGAATACATCCTCCAATACCTGCTTTTTATGGCTGAATGCCAGGCATTTCTGACAGGTAAAGTTCCAACTCTTCAATATGTCAGGGTCTTTTGCTGCTACCTCCCCCATGTTGTTGTTACCCACCACTTCAATGGGTGAGTGGGTAATCTTCAATACTCTCAGGACAGGTTACAACAGTCCAGGATCTGCCATAACAGCAGAGCATTTTCTTTTTTTTTGGGGGGGGGGGGGGGGGGGATTGGTACATATGTGCAGATGTCACCAGAAAACTCTGGTCAAAAATCTTTCAAAGACTTTAAGAGTTTGACACCTTGTTATGTTTCATTTGTTTAAACTGTGTATTTCTTGTAGGTTCGGATGTTGGCTGATCCCACTGGGAACTTTGTCAAGGTAATTTCTCTGTACCCTAGCGGTCATATTTTGTTAGTAATCACAACATACTTTGTCTTTATTTTTTGAAAGCTACAATGAAGTTTATAATGTAAGTTCATGGGCTTTGTATACAATATCGTTGTTCTTAAATCTGAATTAAACTCTGTTAACCAACTTTAACAATTTTTAATAATTATGCTGCTAGTCCGTAGTAAATGGATAAGAAGGTATACTATAGTAACTTGAGCTTTTTTTTTTTTTTTAACATTTCTTCATTTGCTTCCTGGTTTCTGACCTAGGTCAAAATAATGTCTTAGATCCCCAGGAGTCTTCATGGGCATTTTTTTTTCTTTGATCCTGAGGAGAGGAAGGGGCTTTCTCAGCTAAGCACACCCTAATGTCTGCATGCCTGAGCTAAGGGCGTATGGATTCCTGAAAGTAAATACATGAATCATCTGCCCTTACTCAAGATGGCCATATTTGTGGTATGCAGACAGTTTAGTTTTACTTTAGACAATTTCAGTTTCCATCCATAGTATGTGTCTGTTAATGCCAAAGCTGTGTATGCATAGTTTTGTGATTCTGAGGTAGGTTATTAGTGAAGGTCTTATACTGGCAATTTCCAGCCTGCATGTGCTGTGACAGTACTGCATCAATTCGGGGTACAAAATTGCAGGGACTTTCTGGAAACCAAAAATGGCAAGCAATATTGTAATAGTTTGAAAAAAGAAAAAAAAAAAAAAAAAAAAAAAAAAGATACAAACAAGCCAATGCATTACAAGGCCATACAGCAGCATTGTTTAAAGGATGATGTGTATAACCTCAATTCCAAAAAAGTTGGGACATTGTGTAAAATCTACATAAAACGGCATGCAATGAATTTCAAATCTCAAAAACCCACATTTTATTCACCAGAGAAAATGGAAAAGTATGCCTTTGGGTTCGCCCAAGTGATTAACTTTAACCACTTCCCAACCACCCTATAGCAGAAGTACTGCTACAGGGCAGCAGGGATGAGCAAAATCACGTGTGTATACGTGATTTTGTTTTTCTGGGTAGGGGGCACACCTGTGCACTCCCTACCTGCGCCACTATTGGCTCCTCGGCATGGCAATCGCCGGGTTCCGGCCACCGATTCTCAGCCGGGACTTGGCGATCACCGCCAGAGCTGACAGAGGAGCGGGCTGTATGTAAACACAGATCTCTCCCCTGTCAGCACGAACAGGCTGTTTTTTTATTGCTCTGCAGAGCAGTACAAAGTAGCTAGTCTCCCTAGTATTACACACAGCACACTATGTAAAACACACAACTCGGCACACTGTTAACCCTTTGATCGCTCCAAATGTTAACCCCTTCCTGCGCATTGTCAGTACAGTCAGTGCTTTTTATTAGCACTGATCACTGTATTGGTGTCACTAAGAATGTCAGTGGCAGTCAGTCAGCTCCCTCCCAGTGTCAGAATGCCCACCGCAGTCCAGCAATAAGTCACTGATCGCCACCATTACTAGTAAAAAAAACAAAAAAATTCCAGTGTATGTACGGGTGAAACTCGAAAAAATTAGAATATCATGCAAAAGTTCATTTATTTCAGTAATTCAACTTAAAAGGTGAAACTAATATGAGATACTCATTACATGCAAAGCAAGATAGTTCAAGCTGTGATTTGTCATAATTGTGGTGATTATGGATACAGCACCTTTTTAGGTTGCATTACTGAAATAAATGAAGATGACTCAGATGTTTATGTCCGAGGAATCTTCGTAAACACGAACGAAAAATCCAAATGTTAAAATTAGATTGGCTTAAGATAATTAAATATTATATTGTATGTATCACTATTTATGTATATAGGTAATGTAATAAACTATATTCTACTCATTGCTGGTAATTGTGTATATCGCACGTTCTGGCCAGAAGGGCAAGGTCACACGCACACTGCATCACTTCCACTTGTACGGAAGATATCAACGCTACGTATTGCCCAACGAACAACAATTATTTTTTTTTTAGATTAATGTGGGTCATGATTTCGCCCAACGAACAAAACGCCTCTCGGTCGTCGGCTGATCGATCGGTCGATTTTCTAATTGTGTATTCCCACCTTAAGACACTGACTCAGTAATTTTTTTTTTTTTTTTTTTTTTTTTCTTTACACCCAGTCATGTTACTGCCCTGTTGCCAATTGACTTAATTAGTTGCAAAATGTTGTTAAAAGAGATGTTTTACTGTGGTAAACATGGCCCTGTGTTGCTGACATCAATTTCAAAATTACCTTTTTTTCTTTCTTACCCCCCTGGGGGTATTCCCTAGTGTAGCTCGGGGTAAACTTTCAGTACCAAAAGCGGTAACCCCAAGCTACACTTGGGAATACCCTGCAGCGTTGCTCTGGGATCCCTGTTTCACTTGCCTTGTCCTGCGCTCCCGCGATGTCCCCCCTGCAGCATCCCCCCAGCCATCTCCTCCAGCCGATGCCGGCATCTGTTTTCTGGGTTCTGTTCCCTGCGAGCGTCGGGATGTACAGGGGCCGGAACCGACGGGAAATTCAAAAATTTTTAGTGACACTCACTTAATACACTAAAATCACATTAATAAAATATTACTGTATCAAAGCATTTCACATACATTTTGTCCTGTGCCCTGCCTACATTTTTACTGTTCTTTCTGCCTGGAAACTGAGAAGCGTCCAAAAGGCGTCCCTTTAGGTCAAAAGCTGTTAGACCAGCTAGAGAACAGCGATAGTAAATTAGAACCACTTGCAGAATTGAGTGATAATGATTCGTGGGGAAATTCGTCATCGGACACTGAAAACTATTTTAAGACTGAGCTCAGTGATGTGTGAACTTGGTGCTATATTTCAAATTTCAGTGTTTTTGGTTTGATTAAATTATTGAATTTTATTATAATTTTTTATGATTATTATATTATAATTTTATGATTTCGTGTTTAAAATGTTATCATACCTGGGATGTTTACTAGACTCTTGTTCGGACAGATTTCAGTGAGTTATGCCTAAAAAAAAAATTACAGGCCTACAATAAAACTACATATTTCTATGCAAAAAAGTACCGTTTTGAGCACAAATATTGACAGAATCATACCGCTAGGGAGGTTAAAATGGTACATTCTCTCAATTTTAACATTTAATATTTTCTGTTATGTGTCACAACTTTTTTGGCATTGGGGTTGTAAAAGTTACTTATATTCAGCATTCACACTTGTATATTGCTATGAACCAGAGCAAATAATACATTTCTGCTATTGGCCTGTTTATTTGGCAATAACGTAAGATAACAAAGTAATTTGTAAACTGTATTTCTTTTGGTGTTTATTTTTTATGCAATCCCATAAAAAAGCGCCTAAACTAACAAAAAACCCAAAAAACTAGGTGTACCGAAATTAAAATTTTGGTGCCGAAAACAAATTCAAAATGCACTTGGCCGAAAACCGATATGCGCACTTTTTAAAAATTTATATACCCCAATTGTTTTGTAAAATATGAAAGAGGATGTTACAGTGAAGTAAATAGATACCCAACATGTTACGATTTAAAATTGCGCACCCTCATGGAATGGTGTGAAACTGCGGTACTTAATCTCCATTGGTGATGCTTTAAAAATTTCTAGAGGTTAGCAGTGTAAAGTTAGAGGTCTAGTACCAGAATTATTGCTCTTGCTCTGACGTTTGTGGGGATACCTAAAGTGTGTGGTTTGAACACCATTTACATATGTGGGCATGGCTTACGTATGCGTTCATCGCTATATGCGAGCACGGGGGGGGGGGGGCCCACTTTAAACTTTTTTTTTTTTTTTTTTTTTTTTTTTTTTTTTTTTCTTTAGCACTATTATTCTTATCACAAGGAATGCATGCATCCCTTGTGATAGAAATTAGTGACAGGTCCTCTTTATGGAGAGATGGGGTTAATAGGACCTCACATCTCTCCTCTGCAATGTAAAGCATTAGATAAAAAAAAACATTGATCTAGTGCTTTAAAAAAAAGAGAAATTGCCGGAACCTGAAGTGACATCGCTCTGGTCCTCCAAGGGCATAGAGATGAGTGGAGGCCATCTTTCCTTCACTCATCTCTATGCCCAGGCCTGGGATCATTGGATGGTTTCTCATGCCTTAAGGCTGAGAACTACCATCCGAGTGGCTGCAGCGACGACGGCAACAAGGGGCGGGGGACTTTTTCGACATCTGTATTGATGCTTTTTTTTTTTTTTTCATATCGGCTGACAGCAGAAAGGGGTGTTTTCGGACAACATTTTGGCCACCGAAATTTCAGTGCATCCCTACAAAAAAAAAACCTACAGTCATCAGTGGTAAAAATATATTAAAAAATTTCTATGATTTGTCCTGCCTAAAATGACTTTAATGACCCTGTGTTTTTTTTTAAAATGACCCTAAACTGTATTCTGGTTCAAAGGGGTTGATTTATAAATCGTTCATTACAGCTGTCTCAACATTTCTGGTAGTGTAATGAACAATACCTGTAATGTGTTTCATTTCCTTTGTACATTTTTGCCAGGCGAATGTAACATTGCCTAACATTCGATCCTATTAGAAAAGAGAAATTAGCTATAGGAACCTTCGACCATGAAAGTTAACATCCACAAACACAGAAAATAGCCCAACACTATATGTCAAGGACATTCTACCAGCAGAGGAAATGAGGGAGACATCTGCACTGTGTACTGTCTGAGTTCTTTTGTGAATGGCTGAATGGGCATCGTTCGGCTGAATAAACCTCTAGCTGCAGTGTAAAGCAAAACATTCAGCACCCGCAGACATCATAACAACCAGTAATTCAACATTCTTGAAAAACTTCAACAAAAAACATCAACAAACTTCTACTAGTGCATGGCCAGCTATGAACAAGTTGTAGCAGGTGTAGCTTTGTATTGTCTAACTATATTTTTCTGTTTCAGGCTTCTGGATTAGGTTTGAACAAACCAGAGTTACATGGTATCTTTGGGGGCGAAAGGTGCAAGAGGTGAGCCATTGCCACTCAGTGCAGACCTTCTTTTGACTTGTTTGTATCTAGTTGACATTGCATTCCTATTATTATTATTATTATTTATTATTATTATTATTATTATTATTATTACATTTTTTATGCAGTGCACCACAACTCACAAATTCACATCTGTGCTTCATAGTGCTCCAAAATGCAATTATGAAGGTTTTTTTTTGTTTTTAATTAGTTGACTAACATGCATCTAGGGCAGTGGTCTCAGGGGGCCATATGCGGCCCTTTGCTTATTCTTATCCGGCCCTTTGGGCACTTTTTCCCTCTCATGAAAAGCACTATTCTCCCCCACTGACACAAACGAGACTTATTCCTTCCACTGACACCAACAGACTATTATTCCTCCCACTGGCATAAACGGCGCTGTTCCTCCCACTGGCGGGGCGCCACATTTTCTACTTTCACTGGCCACAGTTCGGCCTTCCTAAAGTCTAAAGGACAGTAGCCCGGCCCTTTGGTTAGAAAGTTAAAAGACCACTGATCTTGGGGAAAGCCAACTGGTCACTGTCATGCATTCCAGCAGTTCACGCTGCTGTTATCAGTGGACTATAAGCCCCTGGTCACATCAGCCAATTTTAAAATTGTGCAACTTACAGTGAAGTCACATGATTTCAAAATCTGGTGACCTGCCGATTTCAGTTGCAATTTGCAGGACATCTGACACAGATTTCTATGCAAATCGCAACAAAGTAGTGCATTCACTACTTTAGAAATCAGTGCAGCTCTGACCAAGTCAGAACCGCACTGATGACTGCTCTAATAGTGGACAATAGGGTGTAACTTGGCATATGATTTGCAAGTCGCATGGCATGGAAATTGCATGCCAGGTTACACCTGATGTGACCGGGGTGTAAGTGTTTATTAGAAATTGCAGTACACACTTAACAGCTTATACTTTCTTTTAAGTTTTAATGTATTACAATTTTTTTTTTCATATGCGATTTGTAGGGTTGCACCAAGACCATTATTGGTGCCAATGCTGAGCATTAGCACGAGTACTTTGTACGTAAAAACCGATACCTTTTGGGGTCCAATTTGAGGCCATACAAAATGAATGTGCTCAAATTACACTGCAAAGAATCAAATGTGATTTGAAAGAATGCGGTGTGATTCCTGTCCAAATCACATTCCTGTTCAAATCGCATGCGATTCTGTGCAGTGCAATTTGAGCCATTCATTTTTGTATGGGCTCAATCACACCGCAAACATATTGGTGATTGCTATCAGCGAGTACTTGAGTTCAAGTATCGGTACGCATAATTGCCAATTTTTAAAAAAAAAAAAAAATAGTGCACCCCTAGCGATTTTGAGTTGCACAGAATTGCATGAGAAGGGAAATCACATTATTTGGTGCTGATTCACATCAGTGAGATACTGTGCAGTGCAATTTTTTGGAAAAGCTTCCTGTGCTACTTGTGTGAATTTTTTTTTTTGCCCCATAGAATATGCAAGTCGCATCTAAAATGCAAGCAAAGTTTCATCAAAATCGCACTACATAATTACACTGAAAATCCAAATGCATAGCAATAGTGTGCACTGAGCCGAACAGCTGCAGGATGTGATCACTGACTGTTATACTGATCAGTGATTGGGAACCAATTAGCTTTTCCTGATTCTTGGTGACACCAGCACTGTCAGCCAACATTCAATTTTAAAACTTGAGACCAAGCTGTCACTAACTTTTCCTGTAGCACCTGGCACTGTCTTGAAGAACAATCTACAGACTGTAAGGGATTATGGACAGTAGGAAAAATTAGTAGCCACACATCCCAATCCTGTAGTTGTATAACCTGTCTGCAGTGGCTTCATAGAATAACCATAGTCTACTGTAGTTGGGTAACTATACAGTCAATCTTCATTAGCAGACTCAAAACAGGAGATATATACAAGGCCAGTGAAGTTATCTTTCTGGGTGCTCAAACAGCAAAATCTCTCTGCAATAGTTGTCCCTCATTCTGACCATTCCACTTGGAAGTTTTGAGTGTTCGAACAACTCCTCCTGTTGTATTCTCTGTATTCTAAAATAAACAATAAATGGGGAGTGGGAATTCCTCATAATGACCAGATAAGTTGTACAAACCCAGGAACATAAGCACCGAGATCTCACCAACTGTGTATAAAAGCTATAAGAAATTGTCGAGTGTAAAATTCTGTCATCTACTAAATAAATAATTTTTCAAAAAAAAAAAAAATATGTTCTTGTGCTTTAGTATTGTAATGGTGCTTGGGAGAATTATTTTAAAAGCCAGCTGTAGGTAGAAGGGATGGTGCTTCCCTATTTGTCCCTCCCTAAGTGACCACTTGCTGTGATTGCTTTTAATATTGTACCTTTCTCTCAAGGAAAGAGTGCAGTGAGCTTTATTTTTCTATAGATACCTGTAAGCCCTGGTTCACACTGATGCGGTGCGGAATTCAGAGTTTTCTGTGCAAATTCCTCACCGCATCAGAATTGCACCCCGTTCATGTGATCCGCTGTGGGTGTGTGTTAACACCCAGAATACGGTCCATAAAATGTGGTGCAATGTGCAGGATTGGATCGCATAGGTGTGAATACCCATGCGATCAGATTCTAGTGCGGACCAAAAAGAGGGTCCTGCACCTTTTTGGTGCAGGTGCGATTGGAGCCATACAAAATGTATGGCTCCAATCGCACTGCACACAAACTGCATGTGATTTGCACAAGAATGCAGGGCAGTTCCTGTGCAAATCACATGCGATAGACCACAGTGTGTGTGTGTGTGTGTGTGTGTGTGTGTGTGTGTGTGTGTGTGTGACAGTAATGCCTAATCCATCATCCTGTGGCAGGATGTCTTTTCTGCTCCGGAATGTGGGTAGAACCTACAGTCATTGCGTCATATAGTCATTGCATACTATGCAGGAACAGCGAGGACATTAAAATATCTGCTTGCTAGTCCTGCTTTAGAAAAGAAGTACTGGATAAAAAAACTCCACAAAAAACAAACATGCATACTCACCTAGGTGGATGCAGCATCGATCCAATATTGCATTTGTTCCCTGCCGGCTCTGCGACAGAGAACCAATCGATCAAAGACCTCTGCTTATTCAGTTCTTTCTTCAGTGAGCAGTCACTGTCAGTCACCGCACTCTTAGCAGTGAGAGGCTGAGCCAGCTGCAGGTCCAGGCATCTGGATGGATCCTGACTTTAATCTCTCCAGAGCCTGGACCAGCTTGGTGACATCAGCTGACAGTGGGCTTTGGGAGAGCAAAGTGACCCACAAGAGAAGTTGGGTCAAATAAACTTCAGCCCCACTTCTCCTTTTAAGACGGACCATGAGAAAATGGTGTTTAGTCATGCTGTTTCAAGCATACATTTTAATTTGTTTTTTATTTGTTTTAGGTTTTCGCTGATAGTTGAAGGTGGAAAGGTGAAAGCCATTAATGTGGAGGAAGATGGGACCGGTCTGACCTGCAGTCTGGCTGCAAACATATTGTCTCAGCTCTAAACTGGAAATCTGCATATACAATAAAATGTCACCATTCGTAGAAATATAACACTGCAGAAAACGTAGTATCCAAACCGATTGTATAAATGACCACAAATACATATTAAAGGCAATATCAAATAATTTCTCCTGAGAAGCTGTTTTATTTTAAATATCTAATATCTAGTGGATTATAGTAGTGATGAACATTTGAGGTTGTAGCCATTTCAGTGTTTAGACCCTGTTCACACTAGGTTTTTTTCAAATAGTGGGTGGAATCGGTGCAATTCTGCCTTTGATTTGGAAATGCATTGTTAAGTGTTTGGCACCCGAAATCGCAGGGAGTTTTTGCCGCAATCACAGCGCATTTTTCCCACGCAAAGCAAACGTGCTGCGATTATGCAAACAATCGTGAGACCCACAACGCCCAAAAAAAGTTTCGGAACATTTTTTGGGTGTTGCACATCCCACAATTTTGTTTGTGCAAGTTATAATCCTCTACCAACAGTTGATCCAGAGGAAAGCAAAAAAGCCTTTGATGCATCCCAGTTCATTTTTTTTTGCCTTTTTTCTTTGTTAAAATTCAGGAAGTGTGCATCTTGTATTCATTTTTGCTCAGTTCCAGATGTGTTTTTTTTTTACAGCAAAAAATGCAGCATGTTTTTACTTTTGTTGACTGCACTGGTGTGAACTAGGGCTATTGGAATACATAGAAAACCCTGTGCTTGAGTTTTTGATGCTGATTAAAACTGGACTGCATCTGCTGTGAACTAGATCTAAAGCAAAACTTAATCGACCCCAAAGTAGCTTTTATTGGTACAAGTGTCTCTGGAGTTTGTATGCAAAGGTTCATTTCAAATAGTTTTTAGAACTACAAATGCAGTCAGTGATGCAGACAATTAAAACATCAAATTTTAAACATAAAAAAACCAGCACTAAAAGTGTGTATACATACATACATACATACATACATACATACATACATATACATACATACATACATACATTTACATACATACATACATAATACATTACATGCATACAAGTTACATTACATATACATACATACATACATACATAATGCATACATACATACATTACAACATACATACATACCAAAAATTTGAATATTGTGCAAACAGTAATGCAACTTAAAAGGTGAAACTAATATGAGACTCATTACATGCAACGCAAGAGTTCAAGCTGTGATTTGTCATTGTGGTGATTATGGCTTACAGCTCATGAAAACCCCAAATCCACAATCTCAGAAAATTAGAATATTGTGAAAAGGTGCAATATTCTCGGCTCAAAGTGTCCCACTCTAATCAGCTAATTAAGCCATAACACCTGCAAAGGGTTCCTGAGCCTTTAAATGGTCTCCCAGTCTGGTTCAGTAGGAATCACAATCGTGAGACTGCTGACCTAACAGTTGTGCAGAAAACCATCATTGACACCCTCCATAAGGAGGGAAAGCCTCAAAAGGTAATTGCAAAAAGTTGGATGTTCCCAAAGTGCTGTATCAAAGCACATTAATAGAAAGTTATGTGGAAGAAAAAGGTGCACAAGCAGCAGGGATGACCGCAGCCTGGAGACGATTGTCAGGAAAAGGCCATTTGATGAGATTTAAGATATAATTTTTTCACTTTATCTTTTAATATTTTTACATTTTTTCACATATTCGTATTTTGGCACATTAAGATTGTGGTTGGTAGATATGGTCTGCATTTTGGATGCAATATACTCGCATCCTGAGGAGTGCTTGTCTAAATATATTTGCAGTTTACTATTCTTGGTTTCCAAGTATTAGCTGCTCCACCCTTCCCTTTCATTTTTTTCATAGTGTATATGTCTATTGGCGCCATCCAAAAGTAAGATACATATGGTAATCTGTTGTTGCTGGGAGGGTCTTATGTTGCTGGGGAGGTCAATTATTTCTGGGAGACCTCTTCTGGTGAGGGAGGGGTTTATTGTTGCTGGAGGGTCTGTCTATATTAAATATATTTGCAGTTAACAAAAGATCGCCCACCAGCAAAAAAATAGACTTCCCCAGCAACAATAGACCCCCAGCGACATTAAATCCCCCGACAGCCAGAAACAATACTCTCCATCTTCTCTTTTTTTTTTTTTTTTTTTTTTTTTTTTTGTATCTCAAGTGGTTATTAAAGTACAAAACAGGTATCCACATAGTGTAACACTGTTATGACACCTGTGTTTTTTAAACAATCTATACGAAATTTATACTTGCATGTAATTGTGCTAAAATCTTCACCAGATCTCTCTATAAATATGTAAAACCCATTGAGCTCTGACAAACTGTGGCCTGTACCTGTCACCTGTGGACTTTCTCAAAGGGATGCCCTCAAACCTTGGCTCTGATTATAACTGCACTCGTACAGGAAATGGAACATTTGGTCTCAAGAAAATTGCCTCTATATATCTATATATACCAGTAGGTTTCAAGAAATTTGCGCGTGTGTGTGCACAATTTTCATATTTAAATTGCTGCACTACAAAATAAAATTATATAATTTACCAATTAGGACTCATTCAGATGTGCGCTGGCACCTGTAGTTTGTGAATGAGCACCTTGTTTGTGCAGCGTGCAAGTAGCTCATTTACGGTATCTCTTGGCATGCATTGGCTACCTGGACACAGCTGCTTGTCCCAATTTGACGGGTGTGGGTGAGCAGCACTGAATGCAGACAGTCTGGGCAGCTGAAGCCGCATAAACAAGGACATAATTTACAGACTGCAATGACAGTGCTCTTCTGAATAAGCCCTTCTACTCAACATACACTCACTGGCAGCTTTATTAGGTAAACCTGTTTAATTGCTTAGTAATACAAATTACTAATCAGCCAATCACATGGCAGCAACTTAATGCATTTAGGCATCTAGACGTGGTGAAGGCAACTTGCTGAAGTTCAAACCAAGCATCAGAACGGGGAAGAGAGGCGATTTAAGTGGCTTTGCACATGGCATGGTTGTTGGTGCCAAAAGGGCTGTCCTGAGTATTTAAAAAAAAAAAATGCTGATCTACTGGGATTTTCTTGCACAACTCTCTAGGGTTTAAAGAATGGCTCGAAAAAGAGGAAATATCCAGTAAGTGGCAGTTGTGTGGATGAAAATGCCTTCAGAATTTGGTGTAAACATGAAAGAAAGGACCCACCCTGCCTTTGTATCAATGCTTCATGATGGTGTGGGGGATATTTTCTTGGCACTTGCAAGGTGTACCTAATAGTCACCAGTGAGTGTATATTATAATAATTAGAAAATTTATATAACTCCCCTATTACAACTTATCTACCTGTCACTAATAAGCAATTCATTTTTCATGTATATATCTCCCATGTGAAACTGTCACAAAAAAGATATGTTGCATTTGTCTTGAAAGATTTTACTTTGAATTTGGTTACATAATTTTTATATGTAAGATGCTGTGGAAAAACGTGTGTAAGCCTGCCTTCTTTCACAGGACACAGGTCCCTCCCCTCTTTATTCACTCTGATCTTGCTTGCTGACAAAACTGAGGCAATGCTAGGAGTGGGAGGGGTTATGCAGGACTGATTTAAAGGGATAGTTCACCTTCACCAAATAACTGCCTATTCAGGAAAGGGGTGGCTGTAGAAAAAAAAAACAAACTGGGCAGCTCTGACTAAAGTTGAATAATGCCCTTGCTATAGGTGTAGGCCATTTACATACCTTTTTTATGAAGGCTTACTGGAATATTTCCAGGACGTTGCTAAGTGAGGCCTACATGTTACTGGATCACCTCCATCACAGGAGTGAGCTCTCAGATGATGAGCTCGGAATTACTGTATCAGGGGAGAGAGAGCATGTGAAGGGGTCTGAATTAGAGAAAAAGCTCACTCCTGTGATGGTGGGGGTGAGTAGCAATGACTAGGCTTTGCTTAGCAATGTCCTGGGAGTTTTCCAGCCAGGCTTCATCAGGTATGTAAATGGTCTGCACCTACAGCAAGGCCGTCATTTGACTTTAGTCAGACATACAATTTGCAGGTAAGGGACATCTGTGGATAAACACAAAGTCAGTTCTGTGGTGAAGGTGAACGAACCCCATAAGCTTTACTAAATTGCCAGTGTCCAATCACCGAGAGGTGGAGCATAACCCAATGGTCTAACATACAAGTGTTTTTTTTTTTTTTTTTTTTCTGAAATTACATCTTTCGGTGACATTTGGCTGTAGGAGACTGCGCAATGGGAGGTTTCCTGTATCACAGTGCCTGTGTGGTAAGAAAAGGGAGGGGACAAGGCAAACAGAGGAACTGATGTACATGCAGAAACCACAGGCTGTGACACATTAAAGTAGTGCTAAGTAAAAAGAACATTGTGAGGGGTAACATCACAAAAGCTGAACGCTGGAGGGTGAGAAATGTGTATGGGATATGAGACTGTGGATGTAGGAGAAGCTGGACAAGTTGTGACCACCATCATTTAATATGGAAACTATGGACAACCATGAGGGGAAAACCATTGAACGCTTGATGGATGGAGCACTGCTCACATGGGTAAGGAAAACCATTTTTAAAAATGTTTTCAATATAATTCCTGAGCATTTTGAACCACTGTGTAGCGAGACATCAATCCAGCACTAGGTGTGGTACAGTTTTGTGTATAATGTATTCCACTAAGCAGACAAGAATGTATAAAGCTGAATATGCACCTGTTAGATATTGCAGAAATGTTAAGTTTGTGTGTTAATTTCTAGAGTAAAGCGGCATATGCCAAGTATGAAAACCATATTGTGCCGTGACTCATGATTAGGATGTTCTAAAGATCGCAAAACTCCACAGTAGAATGTATTTCATGTATTCTGGCTGCCTTCCCTGCTGACCACTTCCTCTCTACTGCTTGTGAGTAGGAAATAAAGGAAGATTGCTGAAATTGTACACTGTGGGTTTGCTCTTTGCTGGGTCACCTCCTTTACAGGCTAAAGCTGGCCATGCATGAATTGAAATTCAACCAGTTCAACAGGGAACAACTGAATTTTAATACACATGGAC